TAAGATAAGAGAATCAACCCTTTCCAAACATAACATCCAAGTCAGCCAGATCTGTTACACAGCCACATTAGTTAGGGCACAGAACTTTCAAGAAAAAAGAATTAATTAGGATAAGAGCATTCCATTAGAAGCAGTTCTTTGGCACAATTTTCAGTTGTAAGTTCAATTTGCTAAGTGGAGTTATTACCTGAAACAGAAGAATGACTAGAAGATACCTCCTGCAGATGAATGGATGAAGCTGTAGGTAAACTTTCTTGATGAAGAAATCCAGCATTTGAATCTGAAGCTGAAGTTCCATCCTTGACCTGGAAAGTCTGATGCCCATCAGCAATATTATAAGATGGTGCAGAGCTGCCAGGTAAACTCTCCTGAGGATACATCATAGGTGGCCTATGAGGCAATGCAGCTAGAGCAGGGAACTGTTGATAGTTTGATGTTGATAGAGATTGTTGTTGAGTATCTTGGTAATGGGTGCCAACAGCTTGTTGATATTGATCATGAAAACAGTTTTGGTCTTCTGGTCTGCCCATTGGCATAAATTGGGATTGCAGTTTCTGTTCCTGCATTGCAGCCCTAGCATTCGCCCACTCTCTAGCCCTGGCACCCCAATCATCTACATTGTTATGCGCTGCAACAGCAAAATCATTGAAAGCCAATTACATTATCATCAGCATGTAACAAGTATAGGGAAAACGCTATTTTTGGGTAAAAGAACAAGCCAGTGTTACACTGAAATACTGAATTATACTCAAAGCAGGGGGTGATGGCTTGCCTAAGAAGAAGTAGAGAGAAGATATATGTAATCCACATTGCATAATCAATTTCCACTGACAAGTCAAACGGTTAGCTAAAATGTTACTTGCACATACCAGATGACGCATGATGTACCCTCTAAACCAGCAACCATACACTCTAGATATTAAAAGTTTGCTCGGTTAGTGGAGTGACCCTTTAACTAAAATCTAAAACAACCGTTCATATAAACCTATCTTAGCAGATACAGACCAAGCAGTCACTAACACAAGATATCATTATCCTCTCATATAAATTCTCTATCTCAGGTGTTGTGTCCCATTAATGCTTATCCCATTTGGTTAGAAAAGTCGGATTAAAGCATCATCCAAAATGCAGAGTGGAGCCATGGGCAGGGACACCATCTTACAACCCAACAACACAATAAAGCCCAGAAAAGAAAATTACATGATCTATTTTACCGGAAGCCAATAAAACAACAACCAGATACAAAATGGAAATTAGATAAAACAACAAGCCTGAGTGATCCCAACCATGGCGATAAGACCATTTCCGGTGGCTCCATTCCTACAAGCATAAACAAAGTAAAACCAGAGTCAATGCGATAAACCAGACAGTACTGAGAGTGTGGTAATAAATATAATTCAAGCTCAAAATTATAAAAGAAACCTCAACACAACTGCGAACTGAAAGCTACCTGATTGACCTGAGGGTAAGAATGGGGAATCTGAGGAGGCGGCAAGTGGGGGCGATGATGAGGAGGAGTAAATTGGTTCCCAGGATAAGGATGGGGAGGAGGTGGAGCATATGTGGAATGACCAGAGTTAGGTGGTGGACCCCACTGGGAGGGCACTTGCGGAGGCGGAGGCAGAGGCGGAGGCGGAGATGGAGATGAGTGAGATTGGCGATGCTGGTATTGGAACTGGTTTGAATGCCAGGACCCTTGCGGAATTGGAGCTCGCGGCGGTTGGGGGTACTGACGGTGGTACTGGTGTTGAGGAACCATCGCGGGCGGTGGTTGAGGAGGTGGCGGTCGCATGTACCTGCTTAGCTGTTGCTGATATGCATCCATTTCGTCCTCCTGTTGTCTCAGGTATCGACGGTCCTCTGTGTTTGTTTGAAGCTTTGCAGAAACATGAACGAAGAAGAAGATGGAAAAGGAATTTTCTAGAAGAGAATGTATGATGGTCTTCGTGAACCCCACCGTCGGAGATTAGAACTCCGTTGTATCTTTCCTCCGATCTACGGGACGACATCGTTTTGAGCTACGGATATACTCCCCTGAGACAATCATCGGCTGCAACGGTTTCCACAAACGACCCGCGTCAGTTTGGCGCCACGTAAACGCTCTTTTGGACGTTATTACCCTCGCCTGTCAATTCCTTTCCTTTACTAAAATGGTTAGTAAATTGTTTGTAAAGGTAAGGGCAGTTTGGTCTTCATATATTATCAAAGAAATATCTTCGCCGCCTGGCAAAGTATCTGCACACTGCTGAGTTCAGTTTCCTTCGGATCTTCCATTTTGTTTATCCGGCGCCGCCGTCATGGCCGTAGTTCTTGGAAATTTAGCCTCGTTACCAGACGTAGCCTCCCCGCGGATTGTAGCGGCGGACCGCAGATCCCGTGCCTTGGCGGTCGATGTAGTTTTAAACCTGCCGAAGAGGGCTTCGGAAGGAGAGGCTAGGGATCGACGAGTCATGGTACTCGCCAAAGCGAATTCGAAGGTTAATTCAGTAGATTTCAACGCGGAGAATAGCGACGATGGAGGAAACGGAAATGGTAATGGATTTGAAGAGGAAGAGGAAAGGTACGATTGGGAGAAGGAAATGAGAAAAAGATTGAAAGAGGTTGAGGAGAAGAAGGAGTTGGAGACGAAGGCGGAGGAGTTGCTACAGAAAGCAAAAGCGGAGGACGGTGAAGGTACTGGTAAAGAATTGACAGAGGAGCAGAAGATGTTGAGAGTGAGAAAAGAGCTCGAGAAGGTTTTCTCCTTTTCTTTTTCACTACCGTTTCTTTATCTGCTGGGAAAATTAACGAAAATTCAAAAAAAAAAAAAAAAAAAAAACATGAATCTTCAGTCTCTTCTTCTATATTTTTCTGTTTATCATAAAAATGCACCAAATTTCAAGTATGAGATTCAAATTGCTTGGGGTTTCTTTATAATCCGTGCATGATTATTTTGTTTTTCATTCTGGGGTGTTAGAGCTATTGCAAGTTTTTTGAATTGCATAGTAATCAGACATTCTATTGCAAGTCTCTTGAATTGCATAGTAATCAGGCATTTGATCTGTGATCACAGGCAGCTCAGGAGCAAGCAGAGAGAAGAGCAACAGCAAAATTGATGTTTGAATTGGGTCAAAAGGCTTATGGAAGGGGCATGTACAGACGTTCTATTGAGTTTTTTGAAGGGGCACTCACAATCATTCCAAGGCCTTCATTATTTGGTGGTGAGGTTGGTTGATACTTGATACTTCAGTCAGTACATGATTCTGTTACAAGGCTTTTGTTTTTGGTATTAATAAGAAATCCTTGTTTGTTGGTTTTCAGATACAAATATGGCTAGCCATGGCTTATGAGGCTAATAACCGCCATGCAGATTGCATTGAGCTTTATTTGCAATTAGAGCAGATGCACCCTAATGTGAGCATTCGACGTCAAGCTGCTGATCTTCGCTACATCTACCAAGCACCTAAGATTAAGATAACACAGGAGGAGATGGTTACAATGCCAACCATTGGTACAAGTTATGACAGCTATGATGGGTATGTAGTTTAATTGCTTCAGCTGATTGCTAGGATATTTCAACCATTGAACTATAATGCCATTAATTTGTGCATTCATGAGATATTATAAACTTGACACTTCTTAAATGCACTTTTTTACAACATCTGAATTGTCCATGAGATAACCCTTTAGCTTGATGCATATTTAGCATGCTGGAAGACTTCTTCAACAATAGAAGATTTATGATACGAGTTAAAGCACATTTGCTTGCGTCTCAAACTTTGGACTTGGCTAACTATCAGAGGCAGAGCATATGCTTACTTTATATTTGGTTTCTCAGTAGATTAATTACCTGTCAAGTTTAAGAGTCTGACAAATTCAACATGAACAAATATTGTTCTTTTTTCTTATTATCAAAATGAAATGGGAAATATTTAATGTGCCAATTTGATGCTTGTCTTTCAATCCTCATGTGCCCCATCCTGTGTAATGGAAGACTCAGTTTGTTCTAAGTTAGTGGATTTATTAGTTTTTGAGAAGAAGAGAGTTTATTGCTGACTAATAGCTGCTGTGTAGATGTTCTTCTGTAATATGGATTCCATGCAGCTTAACCTCAATCGATAGAATTTTTTCAATTAGAACCAATGCCTCTGGCCAAAAAATTCGGGACTAACATGAATATTTTAGATTATCCACTTTTTCATACCTACTAGAGTGGAAGGAAACCCCCGGTTTCTCAACCATTCATCTTAAAGTTATATTTCTTAGCATTACTAATTCATTAATCCCTTCTTAGTAACCCCTAAAAAATTGTTTCCTTGAGTTCATATCATCAGCTTACTTCTTTCGAGGTTTGCCTGCCCCTTTTGTGAAATGTTAGATTCCTAACGATTTTATATGGTCAATATATCTGTGAGTTTGCATGTGCATGCTTTAACATGGTGCTAATTGAAGAGGTTAACATGTATATTGATATATTTGCAGCTATGGGTCGGTATGGATTGATAAAGACAAATACAAATACAAGAATTGGTATGCAAGGAGAATTGAATCGAAAACAACCGATCAGTTCCCACCTTCCAGAGACTTTCTAGGGGAGCTTTTTGAGTTTTTCGTGTGGAGACCTCCAGTTGGATTGGAGAAGAACCGAGCATTTTGGTTTGGTTTGACTCTATGGTTTGGCTTGGTGGGAGCTGCGCTCCTCCAACAAAAATAAACTCTATAGAACAGACACCATCCCTGCACGATGCATTCTTTTAATTATTTGCTCTGTTCTGAGTGTAACATACCTATAATCTATATTTCTTTCTTATGTATATGAAGCAGACCAAGGTGTTTGCATAATGTTACGAAAACCTGATCTGATCCTAAGGCATGTTATATTCCCTGGACAATATTAGGAACAAAAAACTTCTACATCCTGGAATGTATTAGCGATTTTCTAAGAAGTACTATTAAATTTTCAAAAGCTAATTTTAGCTACTGAAAAAATAGTGGCTTTAGCAGTAGATCGTTTTGGTGCTAATCTTGTGATTTGTGAATTTTGATAAATATCGTTATTTTGTAAAACTTTTTTATTAACTAGTTTCTACAAACTTTTAAGTCTTGGACGCAAATAAAGTCATAAAGGGATTTTTTTTTTTTAAAAAAAAAAATTCTTTCAATCAAATTCTTAGTTCCATGAGTATCTTTGGTGTAAGAAAAATAGAGCAGAGAAAGGTGGCAGGGGAATAAGTTCTTTAAGCAATGAAACTATACCATTTATTAGGATTAGAAAATTATTATATTTATCAATTTTATAATCTAATTATTAAAATAAATTCATCAATTTACTTTCATTCATTTTTTTTTAAATCAAATATAAAATAATAATAATAATAATAATAATAATAAGAAGGTTCTCAGCTCAATGCAGGCCCATTGAGCCCATTAGTCAAAACCCAAAATCCGTATTAGCGCAAAATCCTAGTGGGCAAAGCAGGAAACATAAAACCCTACACTTTTACCACATATAAATTCCTAAACCTGCCTTTCGCCTCTCAGCCGCTCAAACCCTGGTGGAAGGAGTGCCAGATCCAGGAGGACCAGAATGACAACCCGCTTCAAGAAGAACCGGAAGAAGCGTGGCCACGTGAGCGCCGGCCATGGCCGTATCGGCAAGCACCGCAAGCACCCTGGTGGTCGTGGTAACGCCGGAGGTATGCATCACCACAGGATCCTTTTCGACAAGTACCATCCCGGGTACTTTGGAAAGGTAGGTATGCGATACTTCCACAAGCTCCGCAATAAGTTCTACTGCCCCATTGTCAACATCGACAAGTTGTGGTCACTTGTCCCACAAGAAGTCAAGGAAAAGGCCACCAAGGGTTCTGCGCCAATGATCGACGTGACCCAGTTTGGTTACTTTAAGGTTCTCGGAAAGGGGATCTTGCCAGAGAACCAGCCCATCGTGGTCAAAGCTAAGTTGGTCTCGAAGATTGCTGAGAAGAAGATTAAGGAGGCTGGCGGCGCTGTTGTGCTTACAGCTTAGGTTGGATTCAGTTTTGGTTGTCGATGAAGTTGAAGTTATTGTGAGACTTCTGTTTTAATTGTTGGGATTCTATTAAAATGAGATGTTCAATGGATGGTTTTATTTTTTGTTTGATTATGTGCAATATTAGTACTTCATTTGGGATAACTACTCTATGTTGCTTGTTCTTATTGATTTCTGTTTTTCATCTGCTTATTTTTATTATTTGCTAATCTAATTATGTTCTTCTTTCCACTTTCTCCTGCTCGGTGTTGATGGATATGTTTTTTTTTTTTTTTTTTTTTTTTTGGGTTAGATCATAAATTGTTTGTTCTTTTGATAAGATGAAGAGGGATTGTGGGGATTCATTACCTTGACCATTTGTTGTAAAATGTGTTATCCCGACTAGTTTTCTTGCACTTTTTATTGATGCAGAAGCAGAATTTGCATTCAACAATAAATGGTTGAGTGATCTTTGCATGCATAACTCAACTTTTGTTTGATCTGCATTCCAACTACTAGGCATCCACTATTGGAAACGCACGCTCACACTTCTGATGGGAAACTAAAATACCTGCATTGCATAAGCCATAGGCATTCTTCCCTTCTGTGTGTTTAATTTATGGTTGGGCTTGGTGGTGCTGTGCTGCCCTTTTACTACATGGATGAATCTTGCAGAAATAGACACAATAAGTCAGAAGACTCAGAACCTTCAGGTGATCATTGTGCCACTACTTACTCTGTTCTTAATGGATTTATTAAGCCAGTGCCATTATAACCTATGTGTTCATTCCATTTGATTTGTTCTGTATTTCTTCTGATATTTTCAATTGAGTTTTCGCTCAATCCTAGACGGGTAGACCCTCAGGGATGATCATAAGGAAGCATCATTTCCCATTACATTCTTGGCATTAAAAAGGGTATCACTATAAGGGGGGGGATCTATTTTATGATCTTAACACTCTTTGAAGATTTGACGTGGCATCAAGAAGTTCCCGTATTAAAAGCTTGAATCTTTGCATTAGATTTAGAAATTTCAAATTTAAATTATGAGATGCGTGATCTCAAATTAAATTAGAAATTTCTTGTTCAAATTATAGGACGTGAGATTTCAAATTTAAATTATGAGATGAATGAAAAGAAATTTGAGAAAAAGAAGGTTATTGTTTTATATAATTTATTATTTGAGGTAAATAATAATAATAATAATAATAATAATAATAATAATAATAAAACAATCTCCTAAAATTAATCTGGTACGATCCTTTTGTGATCTCGTGCCTTCTGTGATTAATGAAAAATTGTGCACGTAATTTATCACAAAGAAATCTCACGGAGAAATGGTGTTGATTTTCACCTCAAGGATCAATAATGGCTGTGGCCACTTTTTCATTGGGCTCAATCCAGGCCACTCCTATAAAGCCAACAATCAAAACCCAGAGGCCAGAAGGCCTAAAAGTCTGCCCATCACAAAAGCCCAAAACAGGAAATCCACACACACATTTGCGCATCGAATCGAATCAAATAAATTCCCCAAACCCTAGGTTTACTCTCTCGTCTCTCAGCCGCTCAAACCCTAGTCAACAGCGCCCCCCGATTCAACGAGAGACAGAATGACAACCCGCTTCAAGAAGCACCGCAAGAAGCGCGGTCACGTGAGCGCCGGCCATGGCCGTATCGGCAAGCACCGCAAGCACCCCGGTGGTCGCGGGAACGCTGGTGGTATGCACCATCATCGGATCCTCTTCGACAAGTACCATCCTGGGTACTTCGGAAAGGTCGGTATGCGGTACTTCCACAAGCTCCGCAACAAGTTCTACTGCCCCATAGTCAATATCGACAAACTCTGGTCCCTCGTCCCGCAAGAAGTGAAGGAGAAAGCCACCAAGGATGCAGCGCCGATTATCGACGTGACCCAGTTTGGATACTTCAAGGTTCTTGGAAAGGGGGTCTTGCCAGAAAACCAGCCAATCGTGGTGAAAGCGAAACTGGTCTCGAAGATTGCCGAGAAGAAAATCAAGGAGGCCGGAGGTGCTGTTGTGCTCACTGCTTAGGTTAGAATTATTTTTGGGTTTTGATCAAGTTTAAGTTTTTCGAAGACCTATGCTTTATTTGTTTTAATTGTTTGGAGTTTATTTTAAATGAAATATTATGTGAATGTTACTAATTTTTATTTTAAACATATAATTTTTGTTCGTATATTGGGATGTTCTCTTTATGTTAGTTATGCTCAGTGTTGTAAAAAGTGAGCCCAGGCGCCGCTTAGGCTTTTAGGTAGTGTCATTTTTGCCTGCATCAGCCTCTAGCCAGAAAATTCGATGCGATTTGTTCTGTTTAAATCAATGAAAGCATGCTTAGGTACTATTAAACATATTTAATGGGTTTAAAGCATCCCAGTAAATTTTTTTATTAATTTTTTA